ACACACACACACACACACACACACACACACACACACACACACACACATTCCTGCTGTGTACTGAAGAGCACACACAAATTAAGAATGTTTTTTCTTTATATTCTCATTGTTGTTTAATACAACATATAGTGGTACTTAAATAAATAACTTTTGTCTGTAAACTGTAAAGGGGGAGTGGTGGAGCAGTGGTTAGAGAAGGTGGGGTTTTTTCTTCTGTGATTGGACGGTTGTCGGCTCAACTCCCTGAACCGACAACATCAAAATGTGGGTGGAAAAGGTGAAACACCCACACCTGCCTCCACCCAAATTTGCTCCACTCAGGGCCCTTGAGCAAGTCCCTTAACTCCCACCATTTGCTCCCTCGGGCACCCTAGATAGCAGCTCTCTGCTCCACACAGGGTTGTGGTAGTTCGGTGGTCTGTGCTCGTGTCAGGAAGGACATCCGATGTAAAAATAATCACCAAGTCTTCGTGCAAGTTAGTTTGTTGTGGTGACCCCTGAAGAAGGAGCAGCCAAAAGAAAAACAATCTGTAAACAGTTTCAAAGAACATAAAATAAGTCCTGCTTACGGTAATTTGAATGATTTTGCAGTTACTGTCCTGTGGAGTGCGAATGACATTTTTGACTTCCAACATCTTTTCAAGCTTGACCTGTCCAGCATGACAGTTATTCTTTCTTTAAATCTAAAGTTTTACAGAAGCAAAGTCTTAAAACTGTATTCCATATCAAAGGCTGATTGTGAAGTTTGATTGGATGTGATTTTGGGGGCAAACTTAGAATAAAACATGAGATTACATTTATGGATCTACATATTGTAAAATTATCCACCATTATTGGTGTTAAAAAACACAAACGTGGCTAATAGACCATTATGTTTTTGTCTTGTTTTAGTACAAAATACACATCAGAATTATAAATAAATAATAAATAGAATAGAATAACAAATTACGATGGAGCTTTAGGGCCACGCTAAAAAAAAAATTAAAGCTATAAAACTATGAGAATAATGTCTTTGTTGCCTATTACTAGAATAAAGTTGAATAAAGTCTTAATATTACAAGAATAAAGTTTTCGAGACTTTTTTCAGCTTTCGTTTATTTATTTATTTTCCATGAGTTGGATCCACGACGCGACCTGTCAATCAATCCAGTAGGCGTGTCAGCAAATGACCAATCCGAAGCTAAATGAGTCGTAATATCCGAACTCGACATGATAAAGCAGGTTTACCGCATTTTAACTGTGGTAAAATGAAGAATGTTGAGCATCTTGTTAAGTTATACTTTGGTATTGGTTTTACAAATGAGATAGTTAATCTGTTAGCACATCAGCATCAGTTTATTGTCAGTATCAGGACTTTAAACCTGTTTACAGTAAGGTGGTACACTCTGATGGGCTGCAGCGCAGCTCTCTGCAGGTAAGGAGCATTTAGCTTCAGACTGGCCATTTGCTGACACGCCTACTGGATTGATTGACAGGTCGTATTTGGATCCAAGTTGTGGAAAATAAATAAGTAAACAAACGAGAGCTACAAAAAAAATATTGTACGACTTTATTCTCGTAATATTAAGACTTTATTCGACTTTATTTGACTTTATTCTCGTAATTTTATGGCTTTCAATTATTTTTTTTTTAACGTGGCCCTAAAGCTCTGTTTTAACAAATAGACCAGTCACCTGTTGGCTGCAGGTTTGTCTCCTGGCAGGGGGGCCTTTCTGGGAGGAGCTGGCATGTTCTTGCTGTGTTGTGTGGGTTTCCTCCAACAGACCAAAAAACATGTATGTTAGTCTGATTGGTAACTCTAAATTGTCTCTGGGTGTAAGAGAGGAAGAGTGAATGGTTGTTTGTCTCATTTGTCTCTATGTGTCCCTGTGATGAACTGGAGACCTGTCCAGGGTGTCCCCCGTCTCTCACACAGTGATGGGATGCCAGGTCTCCATGATCAGAAGGGAGAAGTGGGTAAAGATAATCAATGGGTCATAGTCTGCCTAATCTTTGAGGAAACAAGAACTAAAACAGTTTGTATGGCTAAGAGGCAACAAATAATTCAAGTAAATATGAAGTAAAGGGCAGCACGGTGGCACAACTGGTAGAGCTGCTGCCTCTTAGCGAGCAGGTACTTGGTTCAAACCCCAGTCCAGGGGCCTTTCTGGGTGGAGTTTGCATGTTCTCTCCGTGCATGCGTGGGTTTTCTCCGGGTGCTCCGGTTTCCTCCCACAGACCAAAAACATGCATGTTAGGCTGATTGGTAACTCTAAATTGTCCCAAGGTGTGAGTGAGAGAGTGAATGTTTGTTCGTCTCGTTTGTCTCTATGTGTCCCTGTGATGGACTTTCGACCCGTCCAGGGTGTACCCCGCCCTTCGCACAGTGATTGCTGGACATGGGCACCGGCGACCCCCGTGACCCAAAATGGAAGAAGCGGGTAAAGATAATGGATGGTTGGATGGATGAAGTAAAGGTTAAATCCTAAAAGGAGCTGTAAATATGTGTGTGTGCACTTTAAAGGAGAAATAAGCCAGAGTGTGCTCATTACCTGGTCCCTGCATCCACATGCTGCTGTTCCTCCTCAGCATGGTGTTTGTTCAGGCTTTACTGGAACTAAGTGAAGCAGAAATCGTAACGTGGCCTCCTGTGTGTGTTCCTGTCTGTTAACTCCAGTGCTGGGCCCGCTGCAGTCAGTCATGCAGGAGCTACAGTCAGATGAGGATGACGAGGACTCCGAGGACAATGATGACGACATGGACACTGATGCAGACCGACCAGCACACGCACATATCACGCACCACCAGCGCAGGTCAGTAGCAGCAGGTTAGTGTGTGGATGAAGTTCTGCAAAGCTCAGTTTATACCTGGAGGGGAGTAGCATTTATGTGGCGATCAGCAGCCTGAGTTTTCTTTAGGACTCAGTGACGACCATCAGAGCTATGGAACATTACTGCTCCTTCGGTTTTCCTTTGATGCAGATCTTTACAGCAATGGGAGCTTACAGCAAGTCAGAGAAAACTAGCATCGATCCATGGTTTTCTGACCACAGATCTGGAGTACTGTTGCAGAGCTGGCATGAAGTGCTTTTTCTGTAAAAACAATAATTTGTCTGTGAATGTTTGTTATGAAAAAGCTTCATTATTAAGTAGAAATATTGCAGCAGAGAAGAGAGCCCCCCAGGGAGGTGGATTTAACCACAAACATCTGATTAGGTTTGTAAAGGTCACCTCACAAACTCAGGTTCCTTTAACATGATCCAAGTGAGTTATTTTCAACCTGATCTAATGCTCACAAATTCAAGAGAAATAACCCCCCTGTCCAATGAGATGAAAAACAAATTAAATAATTTCAGCAATGACCACAGAATTTGTCATTTTGTCCACACAGAAACACAGTTTTCCCTCGTTTTGTTTGTTTTTGGTAAAAACATCCTTTTAAAGATGAAACTATTTCTAGAAATGTCTTCAGCCAAACAGAAAACGACCCAAAATACAGAGTCTCGTTAACCGTCTTTATGTGGCGCTGTGCCAACAATACGTCCAGAACAGGAGACGAGGTGCAGAGTGTGAAGCTAAAGCTGCTCCCTGGGAACTAAATGTTCTAGAATTAGCCCTTAAGGACTCTTGGGACGATAATGTTCTAGAACTGCGCCGCTCAATGTGGCTGCATGTTGGAGCAGCTCTGTCACTTTCATTCTGAGATTTTGCTTTTGGAAACTTTAATTCCTCTTTTTCTGGATGTAAATGACATTTTTTGGATAATTGTTTCCTCTGGTATCAGATGCTGTGCAGCTGGAAGGATTTTTACTGAAACTTTTTTAGTTTTGGACATTTGTTATGATGCGTAACCATGGCAACAAGGCAGTTTTCTACAACAAACAGCAGCTGATTAACATCTCAAAAGCTCAAATAATACCTCAACTACAGCCACAAATCTCAAATGTGTTGAAAAGGATGTTCTGTGGATGCATTCTCATCTACCTGCCAGCTGTGCTCGAGTCCCTGACCACTGAGATCCTGGAACTAGCAGGAAACACGGCTCATGACAGTGGAAGATAGGATCGTCCCTCGGCACCTACAGTTGGCTGTCCACAGCGACGAGGAGCTCGACAGACTGCTGGGAGGAGTTCTGTCCAGCATTTGGGCGGTCCTACAGCCCGGGGGAACCAAGAGTCCAGCCGAGTCTGGGTGGATGGATCGGACGGCATCTGCAGCCAGTTTCTTAGGATCCACTGTGGGATGGACCTTTTCAAGAGATCCTTCCTGCCTACAGCCATCAGTATCTATAACATCCCTTAATGAAATGAGGATAACGAGTTACAACAACAAATATTTTCCCTTTGGGATTAATAAAGTATTTTTGAATTTGAATTGAATTGAAATGTGAACAGAACAACTGGTACACCGATGTCCCCATCGCTGAGGGATACAAATAATGAATGTCTGTAGTTTTGGACATGTTTTTCTGGACTGGAATTAAACAGAGAATATAAATAAACCTTAATGTTTGTAGTATTACACTGTGGAGAAGAATAGAGGGAGGTTTTTGTTTATGCTTTTATTTGTTTTTTCTTCTTTCCTGAGGTAGTGTAGAGTGACAGATCCTGGAGAGTGGAGGGAATTTTATCCACACCATATGCAATGATGGAGCTAGGTGGTGGTCAATGGGGGCTCTGATTATTTCTTGGCCACCCCAATCATTTGAGGAAACTATATATTCAAGGAATAAAAACCTAGAAAGCATAGTTCCCTCAAATGATCAGAGTAGCCAGTTCATATATAGTATATAGTATATATACTATATACTGTAAATGGTGGAGGCCATCTTGGATTTTGATGTGGCAACCCAATTGTCGATGGTGACTTTTTTACATCTAGCTGCAGCCACACACCTAAATAGAAGTTGGCACCTTGCTTATGTTTGAAGGTATCGTGCTCACAACATGCACGTATGGACAAACGGGCGGTATTTCCAATTCCATCTCTTCACTTTACGATGGGGGGACAAAAAGAAGACTTATGGGTCATAGGTTAGATTAGAGGTGGTTTTCACATTGTATCACTTAAGGCTTCTAAAATGCTGTCCTCACCCCTCCACCCCCACGAGGCAAAAGATGAAACTAAACAGTAACTCTTTTTAAGATAAGAATGTCGGAAATATTCTGTTGCTGAAACAACATCCCTGGAAATGTACATGGACAAGTTAAAGTTTTAACTGAAAGTTTTAACAGCCTGTCCTTTAACAGTCTGTGTCTAAGACTGCTTTTAGTGTAGTTTCTACAGATTTACTAACAGTTTATTCTGAGTGCCAGTGAGAGGCAGGTCATTACTGCATGTTAATAAAAACTATTTATACTTTATAGTTATTGAAATTATTTAAAAAATACTTTGTATGCCCGAGTATAATCTTTTACAGTTTCTACTTCATGTCTCTGAGGCTGAAAGTACTAAAACTAAAGACAAATGAATATTTAAAGCACTACATTGTACTTTTTAGGTAGAATTATTTAATTACTACTAGAAAATATGGCCTATGTTTGGTAATAATTAACGGCTGCAACATATTGTGGTGCATGGAAGCATCAAGTTAAAATTTACAGTTAGCTTTATGCTTCATGGCATCTCAGTATGTTGCATCTGCTAATTATTACCACACAAATTACTGAAGACGTTTTTTAACTTTTCATATGTAGTATCAGTATATACTATCAGTTCTTGAATCAGGTTCTGATAGCACAAACAGGTCAGGAAAAAAACAAAATACTATAAGATATTTTGTTAAAATTAAAGTGAATGCTTTCTTTTCCTTCACCCAAACTCTTCATTTCTGTTTCTCATGTTTTACTCTCATTCTGAGATGCACCAAATCTGGAACTGCCATTAACCCATACTGCTTGTTTGTGTTTAGAAAAGACAAACCTAATATACATTTAGTTCAAAATCTGTCTGGAATTTTTTTAATTTTCTTTTTTTATAAAATGCTCTTCGAACGACGGACGTATTATTCTGGTTTGGTCTCCATCTGCCCATAAACCTTCTCTTGTCCGAACCATAACTTCTGATCTTCTCAAGATAATTTAATGAAACTTCAAAAACATACACATCATGACTAGAGGAAGTGATACACTTTCATCACCCAAGCTCTAAGGTCAAGGTCACAAATCAAGGTCAAATCATATATGAGGTCTTTGCTTGCCCCAAAGACCCATCTCTGCCTGATGCCCTCAACAAGTTCTATGCACGCTTTGAAGACCCGAACAGACCACCCAGCACCAGACTCACCTCACCACCGGATGAAGAGCATCTCAGCGAGACCTCAGCCGAAGTAAGGAGTACCTTCAGGAGGATTAATCCGCACAAAGCAACTGACCCAGACAACATCCCCGGAAAAGTGTTAAAGGAATGTGCTGATCAGCTCTGCAAGGTGCTGGCAGACATCTTTAACACCTCACTTACCCTGGAGACAGTTCCCACCTGCCTGAAGACTGCCACCATCATCCCAGTCCCAAAAAGCTCTACCGTGAATGGTCTGAATGACTATCGGCCAGTGGCCCTCACCCCAATAATCGCTAAATGCTTTGAAAAACTGGTCATGACTCACATCAAAACAACCATCAACATCAACGAGGACCCTCATCAGTATGCATACCGTGAGAACCGATCAACAGAGGACGCCATCTCCTCTGTGGTCCACACTGCGCTCAACCACCTGGAGCAGAAAAACTCTTACGTCCGTATGCTCTTTGTGGACTTCACATCCGCCTTCAACACCATGATCCCCCAAACCCTGATGGACAAACTATCCACACTAGGACTAAGCCCCTCCATTTGCAACTGGGTACTAGACTTCTTAACAAACAGACCACAGTTAGTGAGGATCCACAACTTCTCCTCCTCCACCATAATCCTCAGCACTGGCTCTCCTCAGGGATGTGTGTTGAGCCCCCTCCTGTTTACTCTGCTCATGTATGATTGTGCAGCTACCCATCCAGGCTGTCACATTGTAAAGTTTGCAGACGATACAGCAGTGGTGGGATGCATCACAAACAACGATGAGTCCAGCTACAGGCAAGGGGTGGAACACCTGGAGAGCTGGTGCAAAGAGAATAACCTTCACATCAATGTGAAGAAGCCAAAGGAGATGATTGTGGACTTCAGAAGGAACAAACACACCTACACCCCCCTGAACATAAGAGGATCTGCGGTGGAAGTGGTCTCCAGCTACAAGTACTTCGGTGTACACATGAATGACAACCTCAGCTGGAGCAACAACACCACCAGCCTGATCAAGAAAGCTCATCAGAGACTCTACTTCCTTAGACGGCTGAGACGAGCTGGTCTGGGAAGCTCAGTCCTCACCTCCTTCTACAGGTGTGCAGTGGAGAGCATCCTGTGCTCCAGCATCAACGTGTAGCATGGAGGCTGCACAGCTGCAGAAAGAAAAGCTTTGCAGAGAGTGGTGAAGGCTGCACAGAAGTCTGTTGGAGTCAGCCTCCCCACCATCACAGACATCTACACCTCTAGATGCAGGAAGAGGGCTACCTGCATCATGAAGGACCTCACTCACCCAGCACACACACTTTTTGCCCCACTCCTCTCAGGAAGGAGGTTGAGGAGCATTAAGTGTAGAACCACTAGACTGAGGAACAGCTTCTACCCTGAGGCTGTTAGACTCATTAATCTCTAACTAGAATAATCACTGTGAAAAACCATATCATGTTGCTGCTGATCTGTTTCAATGTTGATGTGTTCATGCGTGCACATCCGCTCACACAGACTCATGTTCATGTTTGTGCTGATGTTCAATGTTTTATGTTATGAGTGTTGAATGTATATTTAGTTTATGTTTTTCTTAGTTCATATCTTAGATGTTATTACTGTTTTTCTTTTACATTTTATTGTTGGATGTAACTGGGACCCTGTGTACATAATTTCGCTCCACCACATGTACCACATGAGGTGCGAATGACAATAAAGAAACTCTGACTCTGACTCTGCTTGTTCAGGACGTTGCTATAGATTGTTGTATTGATGTTTCTGTGTTTGTCGACGAGCGTGTGATTTGCTGTTTGTGTTATATTTATGTTGCAGCTCATTGATTACTGTTCACTTGACTACATTATGATGATAAAACTCCCCTCACATGCAGATACAAGGTGTGCTTTTATTTGTCACCTATTTGTGATATATTCTTACCTTGATTTGTCTTCACCTTCCCAGGGTTAGTTTGAGTGATGGCAGTGAGAGTGACAGCTCCTCCCCCTCGCCCCCCACCCGCAAAGAGGCTTCAAGCATTTTAAAACCTGCTAACAATCAAGTAAGAGACGAGATGTGTACAGATGTGCATTGTGTCGTAGTTGACAGCATGAAGGAGAGAGTCCAGTCATCACCTTTGTTGTGTTCTCTCTCTTCTATCAGATATTTGAAGTCAAGAGTCCCATCAAACAGAATAAACAGGACAAGAATGAAAACATGGATTGTGACAAGGTACACAAGACTTTTTACACTGACTCTCAAATCTGCAACAACCAGTTTTTGAGTTTGAGCTCACTGTTTAATCAGCATTAAGTCAGGGGTCTATAACTGGGGGTAGAAGAACAACAAATAATGAAAAATCACCATATTTTATATATCATGGTGAGACTCAACATCTTACATCAGTTTTAGAGTTTCCCTCCACCCACAACTCTTCTCTTGGTCACCAAAGTTCATGCTCAGTAATCCATGTAAAAATCCAGCAAAGTTCAGTCAGGTCATCTAGACGCTTTCTTTTTTGGCTGACATGTTTCATCCTTCATCCAAAGGACTTATTCAATCTGAGGAGCCACAAACAAACTGATTCACACAAACAGCATACTCTATAGTGAAAAAAACAGTTTGCTGGTTTGCGGGGCCCGCCCTCTCCCCCGTCAACTCCTCTGAGACAGGCATGCCAAAGTGGTTCAAAACACCAAAGTCCATGTTCAGTAATCCAGGTAAATAATCCAGCTATTTTCAGTCAGGTCATCTGGATGAAACTCTTCTCTTGGTCCTTCGTGGTGGGTTCTGGACTAGTCTTGCAAGGACTGAGTGTTTGGCTTGTTTTAGCTGCAGCCGTGTTAAAAACTGCTAAAGACGCTTCTTTTGATTTAAAATGCTTTTATTTTGTAGGTGAGAAGAAGCCTCTGTGAGATGTGTAGCTAAATGTTTAGCACATGGACATTGTAGATTTGTGTGCACTTTGTGTGTTTTTACAAACTTCTTTACATTTCTTCTCATAAGTTGTGGGGCCATGTTGCGGTTCGACTCCCAGCCATTCACATGTCGTGGTGTCTCTGAGCAAGACACCCAATCCCTAATTGCTCCACGGACACTTACATAGCTGCCCACTGTTCCACCTGGGCGTGTCTCAGTGTGATGGTTAAATACACAGAACTAATTTCATCATTGTATGGGAACATACAATGATATCAACCTCAGACTTCCCTTCCCTCATAACAAACATGTATAAAATGGTGGCAACACCATCTGTAAGGACTCCATTTATATTAAGCCTGCCTGGGAACAGTGTTCATACCCATTTCCCCAACATCTTCTTCTTCTTCTTTTTGTTTTGCCACAGCGAGTCCTCCATCTCACTCTGTCCTCACTCCATCTACCTCCATGTCCTCTCTAACTGCATCCATATATCTCCTCTTTGTTTTTTTTTCTGGCAGCTGCATTCTAACATCCTTCTACCAATATTACCACTGTCCCTCCTCTGGACATGTCCAAATCCACTGTCCCTCCTCTGGACAAGTCCAAACCATCTCAGTCTGGCCTCTCTATCTTTATCTCTGAGTTGTCCAACCTGTGCTGTACCTCTGATGATCTCATTCCTAATCTTTTCCATCTTTATCCATCAATTTATTTACTTGACTTCTGTTGGGTTTTTAACAAAAGCGTAAAACTGTTTGACCGCATCTGTGATTGTTAAGTGAAATAGTTAATCATGTTTCTAAATGTTTTTACAAACAAAATTCTGAAAAGCGTGGCATGTGTTTATATTCAGCCCCTTTCGAGCCCTGGAACTAAAACCCAGACAAGCAGCTGCCTTCAGAGGCCGTCTCTTCAGTAAACTGAGTCCAGCTGAGTGTAATTTAATCTGTTCTGTGAGCCTCAGAGATGTATTACAGATTATCAGTAATCTAACAGCATTATAAAGACCAAGGAACACAGCAGACAGGTCAGAGACAAAGTTGTTGAGAAGTTTACTGGTAAAATAGGGTTTGGTTCTAGATCAATATCCCAAGCTTTGAACATCTCATCTGTCCTCAGGACAACTATTAGTTGTGCTCCACACATCTGTCCTTCAAAGAAGAGTTCCAAGAAGAAATCCATTGTTGGAAAAAACAGGTCATGTTTGTCGTTTGACATGACATGTAGGACAGCAAACGTGGAAGAAGCTGTTCTGCTCACATCAGACCAAACTAATGGGCCTTTTCCATTAGCGCCTGATCAGCATGGTTCAATTCGACTCGGCACGGTTCCAGGGCTTTTCCACTCGTAATGATTCATGGAACCTGCCCCTTTTTCAGGACCAACTTCTCTGTGGTTCCAGCTGCTTGAAAACATGACGTCAGAACACTGTCGGTCACTGATTGGTCAGGGGTTGGAGTCACTGGTTGTTTGAGAAACTTTCACATCAACAAGATCCGCCATTTGCAATAACTCAACTCGAGGAGCGATTGGACCTATTTTTAAGATTTTAAAAACAATGACAACACCGTGGTCTAATGCTGAAGTGCTGACGGTTTTTGTGCTTGGTGACCGACGACAAAATTCAGAGCGAGCTAGATGAAGCTCCGCCGGTCACTCCGGTCCTCTCCACCAGAACCTCGACGCCCCCTCAGGCTGTACAGGGCGTCACCTCCCCAGCTCCGAGTTGCTGACCTGCAGGAGCTCGCGAGGCCCGGAGCCCGAGCCCCGGCAGGCAGGGGCGGACCGGGACGGTTCTGGGATGGAGGGTGGAAATTACTTTTTATAACATTTTATGTATAAAAAATATATTTTTTTTTTCTATCAGTGATGATTAAAAATAAATAAACGGTGCCGGCTTTATCATGACATCATGTTTTCACATTAATGACTTTATTAAATAATCTGTTAATTAAAGTTAACTCAGGAGGACTTCCGGCTGAATGGCGGTGAGATAAGGTGTGTTTGGGTGTGCTCCTACAGAATTAGCCTTTTCTCTGATTAATGCCTGGGCACTTTTTCCCGAGTCCGACAGCAAACAATAGCTAACTTACACACTTTACATAACCCTCCTATTTGGCCATTAAAATGCCACCAAAACCGACTAAAGGGGTAAGTTCGATCCACGCTCACCTGCGGCCTAATCCTCGTAGTGAAGCCTCGAGCTGTCCTGGATCACCTCCTCCGTCTGAGGGCGACGTCAGCAGCCTTAAGCAAGAAATACTTGTAGCTCTCCGAGAGGACCTTGCTGCTATAATTAAAGCAGAATTCCATGCTGTTCTGGGTGAAAGTCTCTCGTCGATTAATGCCGAGCTGTCCGCCTTCAAAAAGGAGCTATCGTCTGGGCTAGCAGCGGTGCAGGAGAGCTTCACGGGGCTAAAGCTAACGGTAACAGAGGTGGAGAAGTCCGTCTCCACCTGCACTGACGACATCGTGAACCTCCAGAAAACAGTTGAAGTCCTTACTAAGACGGTGGCACAGTTGGAGGATAAGTGCGATGACCTGGAGTCCCGGTCTCGACGTCAGAACATCCGCATCATTGGTGTTCCGGAGGATGACCCATCAGCGGCGACAACGGCTGCGGTATCTCGGATGCTAAAGGAGGCCTTCGACCTCGAGGAGGAACCGCTGCTGGACCGCGCTCATCGCATCCCAGCCCCCAAACCGAAAGCAGGCGAGCGGGCCCGTCCGATTGTAGCTAAGTTTCACTACCAAGCGGACTGTGTGAAAATCCTGGCGAAGGCGAGGGAGTTGCAGCGGGTCAAAGTGAACGGTACGAATATCTTCGTTTTCCCTGACTACACTGCCAAAACGGCCCGAGCGCGGGCAGCCTTCACGGAATGTCGTCGCAAGCTGCGGGACATCGAGGGGGTTCGGTTCGGCCTGCTCCACCCGGCCCGGCTGAAGATCACGTTTGAGGGTAACACGCGGGTGTTTACCTCTGCTGAGGAGGCGAAGATTTACATTGAGTCGATTACAAAATGAGCATTACAATTAATATGATCGATCTCACACTCAGGAACGTCAGTATTATTAGTCATTATTATTATTCAGGTTTGAAAATGTAATCAAAGTGTCCTGTCTACACTCACGGACTTATTTGTTTACATTCAGGGGTTTAATGTTCTGAATTATAATTAGTATGTTTTGTTTACAATTAAGGATTTAATGTTTAGAATTATAATTAGTGTGTTTTGTTTACAATTAGGGATTTAATGTTTAGAACTATAATTAGTGTGTTTTGTTTACAATTAGGGAATTAATGTTTAGAATTATAATTAGTGTGTTTTTCTTACAATTAGGGATTTAACGTTTAGAATTATAATTTGTGTGTTTTGTTTACAATTAAGGATTTAATGTTTTGAATTATAATTAGTGTAAGAGTTCTTGTTCTCCCAGATTAGTGCCTATTATATATTTTAAATCTTTTTATTTTGCTAGTTCGGTGGGAGTCACCTGACACAAGAAGGTGTTTTAGGGTTTTTGCGGTGTGGTGCCATTTGGCTGTAAGGCTAAGTTTTCTGATGACTCCCGTTGGAGTCTGCACAGCCCCTTC